GTGTGTGTGTGTGTGTGTGTGTGTGTGTGTGTGTGTGTGTGTGTGTGATTGTTTCACACAGTGCAGGTTAATACTGTGAAGCACAGAGTAATTTTCTCTCTGTCGGCAGGCGGCCTCACGCTGTGGAAATGACAACACATTAATTGTTAAACAAGACACCTTAGACCTCGGGGTGGGAGTCAAGAGAAAGAGAGAGACTGAAAGGGCGGGCTGGTGAGAAGGAGCGGAGAAACAATAGAGAGATGGGAAAAAAGAGAGAATTGTACTGGGTTTAGTGGGGGAAATAAGAAAGACAATTCCCAATGTGGAGGCAAAGCGGGATGATGAGAGTTGTGGAGATTAGGTGTAAATGGACTGGGAAAGCAGAAGAGAAAGAGGACTGAAACAAGAGATTAAAATGTGAATAACACTTAGAGAACTCATTCCTGTTGCAAAGTAGTTTACCTTTACAAACACTGAATTTGTAATCAATAATAATCAATATGGGTATATTTGGCCTTTGAGGGACAAGTTCTCACATCGGATCATTGTGGTCTGATGTGAACAGAAGAAGCAGAAGAGCCTACAGAGCACTTTAGATCCACTTCAGAGTATATTTTAAATGCCTGTCACTTTAACATGTCATTTAGACACAGAAATGCCTTAGACTTGACAGCAGACAATCTGCATTTAAAAAGGAGTGAAGAGCAATTTGTTTATCATGAATAGATGGTGAAATGGATGTTGGGTGGTGGTGTGTTGGGAGAGGAAGGAGGTGGAAAGATTGGACCTTTGTACTTTCTACATATATATATTTACCTTTACATGTGACTCTGTGTGTGATTTTGCGTCCGTTTTTATGTCTTTAAAAGCATCTAAAACCTCGACGTAACTTACTGGTGAATTTTTTTTCCGATGTTTTTCCACAAAGGCTACATTACACGTGTTATCTGTATACAAACTGAGGCAGAATTTACCCTCTTCTTTTTTTTACTCTTTTTCTCACAGGAGGTTATTTTAAAGAGAGCAGCCGACTTGGTAGAAGCCCTTTATGGCTTGCCCCATAATAACCAGGTAAGGATCACACACACATGCAAACATCCATAAGGAATAAGCGACAAAGCAAATGAAAGTGTTATATTTTATTTGTCATGTCATAATCATTCTTTTGTGCTGTTTCTCTTCCTGCAGGAGATCATTCTGAAACGCGCGGCGGACATTGCAGAAGCTCTCTACAGCGTTCCACGAGGACACACCCAGCTCTCCGGCTCCACCCACAGCGGCATGATGGGGGTCAACTCCTTCACTGGGCAGCTGTCCGTCAACGTCTCCGAACCCCAACAGGCCAATCAGGGTGAGGCTTTAGAAGCGTTAATCATCATAGTGTAGGTTCATTGTAATGCCAATGAGTTTATCAAATACACGTCATCACTTCTGACTCAGAAACACAGAATACCTCCATTTTCTCTTTGAAAGAAAAAAAAAGTTGACTTTCAAGATATTCACAAACAAACATAGGATCTGATACAACAACTTGCCTCTTGTGTTATAATCAAAAAGAGTTTTCCAAAGTTACCTCAGTTAACTTGTATTTCATATAAAAGTCCAACCTTAACTCACAACAGCTTCATATATATCATGAATGTTCACATCGCTTCGACCAACTGTCCAATCACCACATGCTCCTCCTCCTCCTCCTCTCCTCCACACTTCCTGCAGGTTTCGTGCGCAGCAGCAGTAGTGTGTCTCCTCACGGCTACGTGCCCAGCTCCACGCCGCAGCAGACCGGCTACACTTCGGTCACCAGCACCATGAACGGCTACGCTAACAACACCGGCATGACCAACCTGGGAGGCTCGCCTACTTTCCTCAACGGCTCTGCAGCCAACTCGCCTTATGCTAGTGAGTGTACCTGTGTGCATTTACTCCACTGTCAATCACATACTACACATCAGAGAAATACATGTTTTACAAGCTATTAGCTACTTCTCTTCTGTAAGTGAAGGTACTTATAATACAGTCCTTTTAGCTGCCACCAAACTACTTCAAAATGCAGTTACATAGCAACCAGTTTAATAACAGGTGCTAATAATTGCATATATGTTCATGGAAATCTTACATACTGTACCCGCACACGTCTGTGGACAGGAAGTGAAAGTCTCAGATCTTCCGAATGAAGATTGCCCCGCGGGGCTTTCTGTCTCTGTGCATTCAAAAACAATCACCAACTCCATTTTGTCCTCCTACCATCTCCTACCTCCTTTCCTCGCCTCCTTTCATCTGACAGCCACACCTCTTTTCTCTCGGTCGGTTAATTGCATCCCTTTTCCATTTAGCAGAAAGCTAAAGAGAGGAAGGGGAGGATGAGGGATTCAGATAGATCGGAGATGTTGTTTGTTTGCTGATATTTTTCTCATTGGTGATGAAGACGAGAAACGAAGATTTGACTTTGGAAGAGCAGAACCTTTTCGAAGATTTTGGAACTTGCCTGCAGGGACTTTCTTGGATTCAGAGCTTCAGTGAGGTCAAGCATCGGCCTGGTTCACAGTCCGGTTGTTTAAAATAATCTAAAAGGTGTTTGATGTTCTTTCACACGAAACTATTTCTTCAGCAGCCTGACTTTGTGTACAGTGGCGTTGTCATGTTAGAACACAAGAGGGCCTAACCCAAACTGATTCCCCTCATCAGAACTTAAGAGCCTGGTCCAATGTACATGTCTCGCATAATGGGGAGAATTTCAACTGTAATTGCTGAAGCAATAAATTAAAGGATGAAGTTCAATGAGGTAACCATAATCTCTCTCCTTTATTCTCACCCTTCATCCTTACTCCATCCTTTCATTCATTATCCCACCTATCTCCTTTTTTTTTTTCCTTATTCCTCGTCTCTTCCTCAAAACATTTAATTACCACCACCCCAGTTGTCCCATCCAGCCCCACTATGGCCTCCTCCACCTCTCTCCCCTCCAACTGCTCCTCCTCTTCTGGCATCTTCTCCTTCTCTCCAGCCAACATGGTGTCGGCGGCCGTTAAGCAGAAGTCCGCCTTCGCTCCAGTGGTCAGGCCCTCCTCCTCCCCTCCGCCCTCATGTACCAGCTCCAACGGCAACGGGCTCCAAGGTAATTTACAATGACAACAGCCAGTCAGTCAGAGGATGCTTAGCGGGAGGACTTCCCCAGCAGATATTCTGCCATTAGAGGCCCTGTTATGTTCCACATCCTTCTCTGATCAAACAGTAGGTGCATACTCTATGTTTAGTTCTTAGGTCAGTTCACTACTTTGAACCAGACAGAAATATTTCAACAGCCGTTAGATGAATTGCAGAGATATTTTGTTCAGGCATTCCTGGTTCCTAAAGGTTGAATCCTAATGACTTTGGTGGCGACTTTACCTCGAGCGCCACTATGTGGTTCACATTTGTGTTTTTTAGTGAAACATCTCAACAGCTATTGAATGGATTGCCATGAAATTAAAACATGCCTACATGCTCCCTCAGGGTGAATTGTAATAACTTTGCTGATCATCATGTATGTTTTATCTAGTTTTGTCCAATTTGTCCAGTGCTCTGTTTAATGACTAAATACCTGCAAAACTAATGACATTGTCATGCAAATTAGCCAAAGACCCACAGACACATGGACACACACGAGCGATATTATTGTTATTTTCTAGTGAGGACAACTTTTGTCCAAGTCTGCTTTTTGTACTGCTTCACCTTTTAGACAGTTTTTCTCTATATCTCTCCTCTCCCTGACTTTTAACCCTTCCTTGTTGTATTCCTCTGACCTTATATCCTTCCTTTGTTATTTCTCTGTCCCTGTCTCTCTGCCTCTCTCTACCAGATCAAACATTTGTGGACTCTAGCAAGTACTCAACAGCCAACTCCCTACAAGGCCTGGCCTTCACCTGAAGTATGTCCCTCGACTATCTTCTCCTTTATCACGGTTGACTAATTGTTTTTGCAAGTTTTGAATTAGTAAACTGACTAATTTCAATAAAGTAATATTTGTTCTACTCTGAATGATCTTCCACTCATCTTCCTGATTTTATCAACCCAACATCTCTTTCATGTCATACTTTCCTCGTCTATCTCGTCTCCTTCTTCTCATCTTACTTCCGTCTCATCATCACCTCTCCATCCTCTTCCCCCTTACCTTTTCCATCCACGACTCATCCGCCAGCACAGATCTAGCCATTCTGTTGCCTAGTAACTCCTCCCTGTCTTCCAATTGGCTGGGAAAGAAGACAGGAAGTTAGATATTTACAGAGACAAGAAAAGGACATTTGGCACAGGGAATTTATTTCTCAACATAGCTGGCTTTGTTTAGCTGTGTGTGCCTGTGTGAGCATTTGTGTGTGTGTGTGTAGAGACAGAGCATGTGCGGGGGTGTGGGAACTCAAAGCTCAGCCTCAAAGCACAGCTGAAATAAACACTCTCCACTTACAGATATACACACACACTTTCCTCTGTCACACACTCGGTGATCACACACTGGCAGCTTACCAGGGAGCGATCAACAATGACAGCTGTTCGACTCTCTTGACAGTTTATACTGGCAGTATACCTGCCCTGTGGTGTGTGTGTGTGTGTGTGTGTGTGTGTGTG